ATTTTCCGTCCATTCAACCAGGTGCTTGTTTCCGCCAATTTGGTATACATACATACGTACATACATACATACATACATACATACATACATACATACATACATACATACATACATACATACATACATACATACATACATACACACATACATACATACAGCCAGATGACCCTAGGTGGTCGAAATTTTGAGAACCCTCCACTACGGCGCTTCTCATAGTAGACGTATCGTGGTTTCGGGACGTTGAATTCTAACAATTATTATTAGATTCTAGAGCGCTCGTCGATACGCGAGAAGAGTGACAGCCATTACATCTTGCGACAATTGTCTCTAACTCCTATAGTACCTGATGCATTAAAAAAAATGGAGTGGCCAATTCGTGATGCAGTATATGCAGTTTTAAGAAGCCAACCCCACCGCGGTGGTGTAGTGGCTAAAGTACTCGGCTGCTGCCCCCGCAGGTCGCGGGATCAAATCCCGACTGCGGCGGCTCCATTTCCGATGGAGGCGGAAATGTTGTAGGCCCGTGTGCTCAGATTTGGGTGCACGTTAAAGAACTCCAGGTGGTAGAAATTTCCGGAGCCCTCCACTACGGCGTCTCTCATAATCAAATGGTGGTTTTGGGACGTTAAACCCCACATATCAATCAAATCATCTTACGTGGCCTGTAAAGATAACACTGGAATCTTCAATGTCACATCTATAGATTAATTCTGACGCGCTTTGCTGCTTAGCAGATAAATCAACGGCTAACGACTGCTGACACCGCTATCAATGCACAGCGTGTATCCCTTATATGTGACTTCATTTTGGGGGAGGGGGGGCAAATAAAGAGCTCCACCATTCCCAGTTTTGCTGCAGCTTCACCTTCACGTGAAAATAACTTAATATACGTTTATTAGATCAATTCTGCAAAATACTTTGTACGTGCGACAAAACTTCATTTTTAAAAATGATGGCATTTCCTCTTAGCATAGTAATAGGATAACCGGGCATACCATCATATTTTGCCGTCATGTGAGATCTACTTAAGAGACGAGATATCTACTTCAAAGACGTTGAACCGCAGAACAACGTCTTAGAGTGTTTTTGCTTTATTATGCTATTTTCATGCATTGATGTTGTGTGTGGTTCATTATATACACGAACGTTTTCTGAACGTCTCTCATTTTTCGAGAGTGCAGCGAGAGCACGCCTGCTGCGCTGAACTGAACGGCTGAACACATGAGCCTGCTATTTTGCGTTTTGAAAGAAGTTGAAGTAAAAAGAAATATTTCGAATATCTCTTCTTACACGCATCCAATTAAATGAAGTTAGGACAAAATGAGGGGCAATGGCCTTCCTTCAAAACCACATTGAGAAAAGCACGAAGTCAGAGTAGACCCATGCCGTCCCCTTTTCTGCTCTTATTCAAAGCGACCGAAGCGTATAATTTATTCCCTTTCGGGCAGCGGCAATCGCATTAGCCGGCCAGCTTGAATCGGAGTTGGTTAATTAGAAGTTCCCCCCTTCTTTCTTGGAGTTGTTGCTTCCAAGGGGAGACGAAGACTGGAGTCTCAGACGTTGGGAGAGTAATGACTTTTTACTAGAAGACGGTTCCGAAATAGTAGCGAAACCAGCGTTATTGTAGTACGCTTGCTACACTTCTTAGAAACGAGATTGCTTAATTAACGAGATTCAAGGATCAAAAGAGCCCATTCCGCTAATTAAGAGATACCCCCTCCAACGGTCAGTGAGGAGGAGCATGTGACGTAAAGGCGGCTTTTTTAGCAGCGAAGGTAAGTGGAATCTAACATATCAATCACCCTCTGATATTGTTAGAGTGGGAGTAATCAGGCTGGGCTAATTGCCATAGAGAACGAGAAGATGCGCTCGCAAAAAAAAAAGAAAAGGGGTCATCAACAGAAATTTGCGAGTGTTGCAAACGGTACGCAACAACGATGCCGGACCGCGAAGCAAGTCTGAAATTACACAGATTCGGGTTGTTTCTTAAAATTAGCCTCATTTGAGAGTGGCGCTTTCTAAGACGCATGGTTGAGAAATAGCGTGCATGGGCTTTCAGATTTGAAAATCCAGAGGTAATGAAGCCACACGAAATTCCGCATTAAAGATATCACCGTCCAAGCACTCCATACAGATGTTTAACCGGCGAAGCCGATACTTGTGGCCCTGGTGTTCATCACTGGGTTCATTATGGTATGTCCTAGTTACGTCTGTCCAGAAATATTTTTTATTGAAGTAGAAAATAAACGACGAAGTTTTTGTCACCGTTACTTGGCAACGACTACCCCCTTCCCCTTGATTGTTACAAATAAATAAAAGAAAAAAAATAGCAAATATACATATATCCAGCCCTACATGGGTGAGAGTAAAAGTTCTCCTATGGGCAGAAGAAGCACGCAGTAGCCACGCTCGCTTTTAACTTTGTCCGCTCAGTAGTGTTCACAACCCTTCGTTTCTTCGAAGAAGTGTTGCAGCACCTTCATTGATTTGTCATTTGTTTTGGATGGTCATGGACCTTGTATTTTATTCAACTCAAATGGCCGCTCGGGATCCAAGTTCCTGTTCCAATCGCCTTTGGTGTGTGTCGTGTTTTCAGAAATATTAATTGGTGTTTGCTGCATGTGCATTTGCTGCTCAACATTAAGTGTAACGACTGTGAGTAGTAAGGGCTTGCACAATTTTTGTGGCACGTACACGCTAAAAGTTTTCGCGCACGAAGGAGTTCAGAACTTTGTTTTCGCCTCGTCACATAAAACTTTGCTGTAAAAAAAAATATGACTGAATACTTACACTAAGCCACGCAATGCTCGATAAACGGCAAAACTGATCGGTCTCATGTTTACTGATTGCCGTATCACCGCAGAACTTTTGCTTGAACATTCACTTTAGCTTGTATGGCTTTGACTTGGCGTGCATTTTGCTGTAGCGATGTTGAAGTTTCGTTTCCTCAGCAGTGTGACATCTTTTGGTGACCCATGGCTGCGCAGTGCGAGGCACTATTGCTACAGTAGCTTTCATAAGCACAATGTATCATGTGACGGCGGCGTGAACTATGGTAACGCGCTGGTGGCGTAGACAAAAGAGTAAAACACCGAGCGTTTGCCACCCCCCCCCCCCCTAAAAATTTTGAAAAAATGATCATTTCAAGGGAGACCCTCCCCCCTTCACCGAAATCAACCCTCCCCCCTCGTCAAAAAAAAAAACTTTCTACTTCCTGGTGTGCGATTGATGATAGTTGATGAGGTTATAGTATAGGGCCCGCTAATTTCTGTGGCAAAAAGCCGATTTTCGGGTTAGCTGTTGCTTTCTTCACCTTTAGTGAACCAGAGGTGAATAGTGCGATTTACCCAGTTTCTGCGACGTGTACCCGTTTACGGTGATATTTTTGTTACGAGGTGAACGAGGAACGACTCGCCTAAAAGCCGCTTTTGGAAAGCAAGTCACTTGCGTAGTGGCATTGCCCGTATGCACGGGCAATGCAACTGGCTCGTGCCACGGGCACGAGCCAGTGCACGGCTGCAGCAAACGACGTGACTGTGACTACAGTGTACGACGGTAAAAATCACCACAATACATCTATGACTGACCTAGGTCTAGAAGTGTAAAAAATGTGTAAGTTTAATTCTATTTCACTTAAGGACTCAAGCACATTTTAAAATTTGTGGTTTCTTTTGTCTCATCATCTAACCTTACCGCTTTGTTCCCAACAGTCATGGAAAAGGTGTATAACGTTACAGGTGTAGCGCATTGTCGTTCTCCTATTTTGTGGCTGTCAGTGTCAACGACTGCAGGTTGAATAATACTCGTGTTTTGTAGTGTTCCTTATGCTACTTCCATCACTTATGTAAGTCATTTCACTATTGTTTGTTGTTACTTATGTTGATCATGTTTGTTGCTTAAACCAGGGTTCATTGTCTGCATAGGCTGTTTTTTTGTTTGTTTGGTTATATTGCTTGCCAAGCGCCTATTGTACAGGGGTCAGGTCTTCAGGCACATGATCACGCAGCCTAACTCCTTTATTTTTAAGAAAATCATAAAATCTCTTATTAGAAACTAATTAGAACCACGTGGCTAAAATGACTTTGATGACGATGCTAATTCATTTTCTGATACGCGTGGAAAGGATGCGGTTAGAATCTCCATCTCCTGAATGAATCTTCGCAGTCCAGGCTTGCAGCTATGTTACAGCAACACGCTTCCAGCGTTTCCAATGAGGAATATCTAACAACGAAAGTTATATCTGATGGCTTGTCTTCTGAGGAAATTAGTAAGCATTTGAGGGAAAGTTAGGCTCAACATAATATTGCCGAAGCAGCACTGATGCAATAATCGGCCACAGGCCTTTATTGCTCGAAGGGTGCGTTCTATGTTACTTAGTGAAACCAGCTGCTGGGTTGTCTGGTACATGATTGCAGAAGTGCGAAAAGACGCATACTCCCTGATAAATGAATCGAGACGGAAGATAAACGGGTATTGCCCGCAACTAACTTTATAATCAGAAAAGCAATGGCATGTGGAAAGCCCATCGCCTCACACACTCCTCAAAATAGAGCGGATAAGTGGAACGAGAAGAACACTCTGTTGTGCGGAATAATCAGCGTGACACACATGTTGTTCTGCTTGGCAGGGAGCTTAATATTTAAAAATGTTCTCTAGATAAAAAAATGCTTTAATGTCATTCTTTCTTTTCGGTGTATTATGGCGTGAATGTGAGGAGATGTGCTTTGAGCTTTAATTACTGTGGTTATGTAATGTCACGACTAACATCGTGACCATTCTCCTCCTTCAAGCCGCAACACTGCAGGGGCTCTTCTGTATCAATATATATGTGAATGTTGCGTCGACAATAAAGTTTTTCGTGGCCGCGTTTTTTTTTTGTCATATTTCAGTAAGCGTTGCATGCTCGCTGGAAAGATGACTGGGCAGCCTGGGTCCTTTCTCTGTCTTTGTGAATATTAAACGACGCAATACTTAACTGCCAAAATAGATGATTTCATTACCTTCTGCAACCCGTCACTCTTCAGGGCCATGATGTCCAGGCTAAAGGTTGACCGGAATCCTTGAGGGTCAAAGCTGATCTCTCCGGTCAGCCCCTGTAGGGTGATCTGCGATGAGAAGACGCCATTAGTTCCACGGCCTCGAATGCACGGCCGACTGACATGTATCGTGCAGTGCTCCATAGTGTACAAACAAGACAAAATAAATCCAACGGAAAATCTGATCAAGGAATTAGAAGACTGTGGATTCGGATCATACCTGCGCAAAGGGTAATTCTTCGTCCACTTCCCATTAATCTATATTTGCCTCATAATTGCTACACTGCAGTTGCAGGAATGTTCGTGAGAATGCGCTACAGTTATAGTTTCCATATTCATCCTCACAACACCAAGGACAAAGGACAGGCCATCGTGGAAAGAACGCCATCCTTTAATTTTCAGTTTTGCCTGCATTAGAAGACTTGTTTTTTTGTTTTTTTTAAGTATGCAGATGGGGAAAAGAAAGAAGGTTGCAGAGACGCTGCAGTGAAATTTAGCCTCTCCTGAATGAGCTCTGCGAACGTCCACGCGTATAAATGGTCACAACAAAAGCCTCCATCGTTCGCATTATGGCAAACGGGGTAACGCAGTGAAACTTCGTTATTTCTCGAAGCGAACGTGATTGTGACAAGGGGCGGTGCGTCAGAAAAGGTCGCGAAGGAAGTCGCAGCTCCCGAGAGGGAAGCGCTAGTCCCGAGCTTGAGCGTCTGGCAAATGCCAGGGCGGAAGGGGTGTTGGCGAAGAGGAGTGGGAGTGATGGTAGCAGGGGTCACAAACCTAGGAGGGGTCACCTAATTGCCCACGGCCGCGCGGAAACCTTCCCAGCGAAATTAATGACCAGCGGCTCGCGCACTCGTCTAGTATTACACAGCGTCGTCTGACCGTGGCTCCCGCGGCCATGGTATAGCTGCTCGGTCCGAAGCTGATTAAGCTGCCAACGGGAAAACGCATGATTTGTCACCGTTTTTGCCAATTTCCCGAGCACGCCTTCCACGAGACCATGTCTCAGTGGTGAAGCATTGCTGTGGAAGACTGATTCTAATGGGTTTTTTTTCCTCTATAGATCAAGAAGTTTCATCTACACGTGGAGCTTCCTTTCGGCATTTCCGGTGGTTACGCCCACACTCCAGTCACGATGTTGTTACGCACAGAAACTGCGCATAGTTCTCGCCTTGTTGTTTCCCTGTGGTCACTTGTACCTAATCATTTCATTTTCTTTAGTTTACGCATGAGTAGTTTTCCTTTTATGCTTCTAAACAAACATGAGTACTAACGCTAACGACTCCAGCTTTTCCTGTGAGTAAATAATGTAAGACGAAATTTGCATATTCTGCAAACAACCGGCGGTGGCAGGATCACTCCTCGGAGTACATATTGATCAGGAAGTGCACCTAAAAAAACGAAGAACTGCAAATATTTGGCAAATTTTAGAGCATGAGTATTTAGATGTTACGAACGCGGCTTCAGCTTCAAACACCTCACTCTTTTTCACGCAGATTGCATAATCAGTTCAGCTTCATGCGCATATACGGGTCAACTAATGCATTCAATTCATAACCACTGCCTCGGGCCGTTTGTCTTTGGAATGCCCTCCCTGATTGCATAGTTTCCATATCTAATCCCGATACATTTCGCCGTCAGCTACTCACTCTGTTCACCATGTGACCCTGTTTTTGTATTTTGAGTGCATTGCGTAACGGTGCTTTATATTCCCCTTGTCTTTTATTTTAAATGTATCCCTCTGTCGCCATGTTCATATCAACAAGTGCTGTATTCCCTCAAATGTACCTCACCCTGTATAGCCTAAAATGTGATCTCAATTATATATATACATAGTTTTCGTTGTTTTTTTACTGATCCTGCCTGTAAACGTTACCTGTCTGTACCATTCCGATTCCTCCCCCCCCCTTACCCAATGCCCTGTTCTGGGGCCTGTAAGGTTTTTTTTGAATAAAGAATAAAGAATAAAGATGTCGATAAAACGTGAGTATATATTATCGCGGTTAAAATCCACATTTGATGACACTTCTCAAAGCGGTGTAGGAGCCGGACAAAGTAGTAGTAGTGTGACCGGAGATCGGGCTTCTTCGAAATTGCTGTTGATACGTTCATAGATGTTGTTTTTTACAAGTAGCAGCAATTACATAACATAATTAAGATTACAATTCCCCACGCAGAGGCTGTAGCAAGCTACGAATTTTCCAAATAACTTTAACAAAAGGACAATTACGCCTAATTTAGGATGCCCCCTATGCACATAGAACGCAGAGAAAAGAAAACATCGAATTATATAGCAGACAGAACGTTATGAAGGGAGGTGGAAGGTATGCTGCCTGAGATCTGTCACAGTTAAATCGTCAGGTGATCATGCAGGCAGTGTCAGCGCCCTATATGCACCGCCAGCACATGCATGGATGCACACAGTTTGTGGTCGTAGGCGTACTTACGGGCTTCATTAGGTTGATGAGGCTGCTGCCATCGGACGACGAGACGGCCATATCGCACGAGATCACCGGGAAGTCTACTGCCTTGGTCAAGTCCAACTGGTGCAAACCCATGGCAAATAGCTTCACAGCGTCATACATCAGCGCCGTTTCTGTCTGCAAAGATGTTTTACAAGAAATCTACCCTTACAAAAAGGCCCAGAGAGATTCACTTGAGAGTGCTTTGGCTTTGTTTTAAAGAATATGTGGCCTTTAGCTTGAACGCTGATCAATATCTCCTACTGGGTTTCTTATAAATATTTGATACCACGTTTTTATTGAAATTTTCCAAGCATGTCAAGCTAAACGGCTTTTAGGAAAGTCGAATGAATTATTGACATCCATGGATCGTGTAAACTGAGTTTGAATGGAAAGAGTGCAGTTGACTAGATATGCAAACGTCACAGGGCTTGACCAAAAGCAGATGACAGGCGAGCCTGCTACGCAATCGTAAACGATGGTGGCTATGTCTGTATGCGCATAGGAACAGAAGCTGTTGGCGCCATTTCTGGAAAACCAGCCCCGCAAATATCGCCTTCTAGTAACTATTCCCAATCTGTAAGCATGAACTTCTACTAAAGCACATTTTTAAGCATTTACAAGCCCATAATGTTTTTGCTTCCTTTCTTCCTACAAGCCATAAAGCTGATCATTCGTGTTTACTTAGCTGGGCTTGAATTCATTTACGAATACCATCTTCAAAACCTGCCCTAAATTTTTCGCTAGGGCAAGTCTTTGATAAAAACTTTGCTAGACTAGCTGGTTTGTGCTTATTGCACTGACTTATTTGATCTCTCTCTCTTTTTCGGTCACATACAAGATAATTCTGCGCGCAGGACCATAGAGGCCACGCTGAAATTTCAGTTAAATGAGCTCTTAACCTTATCGCTTTAATGAGATCAGCAGGTAGCTCATCATTACATATTGAGGAATGCTATTATTTCTGTCTGAGCTGATATATAAGACGGTCGCCAGTCAATTCAGTTTTTTAACTTTATTTTCTAAGTAATGCCCGATTTTATAAATTAACATCCCCTCACAACCACCTGTTTTGGCGGGCTTTTTGGACATTATGCTCGCGGAGGCACGTGTGGCGCTTACATTGGAGAAATCCAATCTGCTTCGAACTAAGGACTTCGAAACTCTCAGTCCCAAGGATTCCCCCACAGAAACGGGAATTCCTCTCCACAACTGCGAAAACAGCAGATTTCCGCACAACGGGCAAAAGAAACGGGAGCCGGTGCTTTCAATTTGGTACTGTCTCGAGTTTCGTGCACTCGCGCTTCCAATGAAACCGTGCATCAGATGTTTCGAAGCGGCCAGTTACTGGGTCACCAAGAAAAAAAAATTAGAGAAAAACAAGGAAATGTTGCTTTTTCTTATCCATCTGTTCAGAAAAATAATACAGGCGGCCTCACCGAGGTAATAAGCATTATGTTTTGCGCCAGCTTTGGACGAACAAATGTAACTTGCGACTTGAATGTCATGTAGAAGTTTTCTTTGTCAGACCGAGTCTATACCTGGTTTGTTTGTTTTTTCACATAAGAATAAGATTTTAAAAAAGCTTGCTCAGCGTTCGAAGCATCAAAGACTATCGGATGTCGCAGGTTACAACAATTTCGTCTGCTCTAGTGCGCTGTCTTTATACTTTTTTTTCTAGCTAGCCAAGGAGCCACACTTCGACGGAATGCTTTGGAACACGATAACAGAATGGTAGACCAGCTCTACACCACAATTTCTGGAAATAAATGAGATAGAAAGCAAGTTCTTGGCCAATAACGTTGATTTGTATTATCATTGAATCAGAACACGAGACTGAAATAATGCGCTAAAAGCAAAAATTCGAACAGTTTAAAGAACCGTGACGATCTCGAAGTTTCGACGTTTTGGAACCAAAACAGCAGATTATATATAGGGAGGACCTCGTAAGCTCACTGTCGAAAGAAACCAACCTTTGTCTACAATGGCAAGGGGACCATGCGCATACAATAGCTGTGAAGCACACAAAATGCGCAACTGTCATATGCTTTCAAATAGCTCAACGTCTGCCGAGTTGGTGTTCTCATATTAAATTCACCTTTATTAACGCAATGAAACGGGACAACCTTCGTCTTCTTTTCTGTCGTTACCTTGATTAATTGTGCTATAGTACGATGAAGAAACTGTATGTATATGGTTCACGAATATTTGCTAGTTGGTTATCTGGCAGCATCTGACCATACCTTGAACTTACATCTTAAATCACCAGGAATGATCATTGTCTTCATCATTGAGTTGCTATTGGCTGATAAGCACACACTAACAAGCATGATTTAGCATCTGTATGAAGGCAACATGTACAAGCTCAGCTTTACGTTAGCCAGAAAAATGAAACGATTAGTGAACATGAGAAAACTAACTTATCAACTACCTGTTTTTCTGTACCCACGCCTCCCTACTTGCACCAAGCTCACTGCCTTTTATCTCTTTCCTGAGATTAAATTAGATCCGCACTATACAGCTGCCGCCATAATTTAGTGCCGTAGGGCCTTTTGTTTTCTAAACAACATTTCTCGTGATGAGGTGTCAACAATCACAGCATTAAACTTCATTACAAAATCAAGCTTTTCGGTGACTGAATGCTCATGCGTTCTTTGTGTATATATATATATTATGAGCGCAGAGTAACAAATAGAAGTTCGTTGTCCCAGCTCGTGTTTACAACCGTGTTTGACAAGCTTTCGGTGAGCGTTCACAACGCTGTCTTGCTTGAATCGGCAGCGGAAAAGTAATCTAGTCGATACATTTCCCGAAACAAGGCCATTATTTACAGTCATAAGAGTGTCGTCTTCTTTTCTTTACAGTGATCATGTGTGTATTTATTGAGGATGCAAGACATTCACTTCGAGCGGCAAATATTGCAGGAATGTATACCCGGCTCAAAGACAGCCAACTTGACAGAAGTCTTAAGCGAACATGCGTACCAACGCTAACGAAGTGTTCTAGCTGGCTTGCGCGTGATTCGCGACTGCTGTATTAATTAGGATTCCCTAAGGGTTACTTAGCACGTCAAGAGAACTTCGCACACAGACGATTTTTTGGCTTGTAAAAATTTGTAAAATGAACGCTAATGTAATTAAACAAACAAGTTCAAAATATAGCATTCATGTGAATTTAAACTTTGCCATAAAAATTGCAACATGGAATTTGGTTTTCAAGAAAAAGTCAAGATCTTTGGCTGTTATAAACGTTCTGAAAAGCAGGCTGATGTACGCAGAACGAAAGCGTCCAAAGCGAACCATGTTAGTATGAAATGCGTGGCTGGCTGTTTATTAAGAAGCTTATACATGAACCCTTTGCATTTTATTTCAATACTCTATTTGAAGAAATAACAAAGTTACCTTGGGAAAAAAGTTAGCTGTCGGCGTTGTTGCTGAGGGTGGTTTGGAATATTTGTAGCAAACATGAAGTTACCAGGCGCACAGTGTTCGTACAAAAATATAGTAGTTTAGCAGTATGTCAGCGTAAGAAAAAAAAAAGATTAGAACAGAGTGTGTAAGGAAGAGTTAATTGTTATTGCACAGAAATATGGTCTGTCTGTACACCAACGGTGCACATTTTGGTGGTCATAGGAAAGAAATCAAATAACATGCTACACTCATAAAATAAAATACGCAGACATTAGTGTTTGTATGGGGCGGCCACTTATGGACCGCTTCAGCCCTCCCTGTAGATACCTTCTATATTTAAATGTTTTTCATCATCATCATAATCCCCATCAACAACAACACGTGCGGCTTTTCCGGGATAGGCTTAGTGGCCGATTGCTTAGTCAATATATTTGTATATTAGTTTTCTTTGCGTATAACACTACGGTATATGCGTGCATGAAAGTGACGTTGGCACGAGTACCCGAATGGTCTGTGGGACCGGCGCCTTGCGGTCCATCCTGGATGAGATGATCTCCCAGTCTTTGAGAAATCCCTGCAGCTCCGGACTGTCCACGTCCACCAATCGGTAGCCAGTAATCTTTGTCTGGCCGTACTTGAATTCCTCCAAGTCCACCGTGTGCAAGTCCTGCGGTAAAAAAAAAAATTCCACTCAATCATTCTGAGTAAATGAGAAACACTATACTATTGTAATACCAAGTTACAAAAAAGTTGTACTTTTTTGTTATGCTCATTAAATATATATATAATTCTAGAAGATATATATCTAATAATTACAGTTGGATCAATATTTATATTTCCTCTTTTCTTGAACAAGCGTAACACATACCAATTACCACACATCCTAAATTAAAAAAGTTATTCTCCTGTATTTGCATGCAGTCTCTAGATTGTTCTTCGGTACCATGGTGTATGTCTGTTCTTGATTTATCGAGTTAATTTTTATCTATTTGAGAAATCATGTTGACGCAATTATTGCTACTGCTGTTTTTTATTTCCATGCTGGACTAAGATTTTTAGATAATTTATTTTTTGTGTAACCTTCAATTAGCCTTTGGCTACAGGCCCAAAAAGTGTTTGTTATCTGCAACATAAAATAATAAATATATTGTTATTTGCTTTGTGTATTTCCTAGAACTTCAGATGATCTGTTTATCCGTTTATTGTGAAAGCTTTTCACAAAATCAGTGGATTAAATATAGATTTCAAAGGGTACATTGATATCAACATCACTAAACGTCGTGTTCTGTGTAAATATTTGTGTTTTGCACATAACCCTGCTGTATTGTAACTACCCCCTCTATGTAATGCCCAAATGAGCCCTTAGGGTATATGAATAAATAAAACAGCATTATTTTTCGTGTACCACCTGCAGAAGAGAAAAGTTGGAACATCCACTTGAACCAAATCGACTTAGCGTAGGCGTGACCTCTTGTCTAAACAAATACTTTAACCACCATCCACAAACCTAGAAGGTGGGGGAGGGGGAAGTCAGCCTAAGCGCACGCTCATATTTGATTAGTCACTTAACTGGCCTGCTTTCTTAGTGTGACAGTAACTACTTCGAAACGCCAACCAATAACTAGTCGATAGCTCTTCATCACTGACTGCAGACGAGCTGACTATAGAATTTTACATGGCGATGCTTCGCTACCTCTACAAAAGCACTAATCCTATTCAGGGTGCCATGCATGGAAACTTGAATATTGTACATAACAGCATCAATACGTTTGATTGATTAACATTGTAACAATCTTTGTGGGTAGATTGCGTTTCTATAGCTTCGCATTGCTACGGTATAGGCTGCGTACGTTTAATGATACGTAAGACATGTTAGTGCTTTTATAAAGTATCCACTTCAACACTATTCGTGCAATTATTTAGAATTCAAAAAGTTACATTATGGGTTGAGTTAAGGTGTTGAAATAAGGAGGGTATAAAAAAAAGAGACACTCAATAATCTGTTTTTGCTGCGTCACTCCAATTTCTATTTGCTATTCTCTGAAACAAAAAAGGGCTTTGTACCGGCGTGCTCTGAAAGTTACAACATTCTACACAATGTCATCAGCTCGCTCACTCGCTTCTTTAGGGATCGCAGAGTCAGTGACAGGTGGGAAGCGGATGGGGCTGGAGTAAACGTTGTTATAGGAGTGGGGTAGTAGTAGACGCTTTAAAGGGCACTGCCGTGAAACATTAAAGCACTCTACACAGATTAATTTTTCTTAAAGGAGCTCTACTGTCATTAGTTCCACTGTCATTAATTATTGAAAGAGGAATTGAAAAGCGACGTTCAATTTATGCCTGAACTTCAGCAAATGAACGTCAGTTGGATGTTAGGGATATCAAGGTCTTCTTGCGTGTTTTGTTCAGATTGATTGAATAGTTTTTTTTTTTTGAAGTTGCTATGTTTAGACATTGTGCCCCTGAGAACACAGTAGTTAACTCAAGTGGAGCGACGAATGATTACGCGAGTCCTGGGCCCTAAAAGACACCATTGAACTCTGTTGTCACGACAAGCTAGTGAGGGAAATGATAGGTGGTGTCTCCACCTACATTTTTTTTGCTCGTTCTTCTCGCAGCATGTGCAACGTTTCCGGCATCGTTAATTAATTTTCAAGCACGCTCTATTGTGTCCCTCCAGGGACGTAGACAGAAATGTTTACAGCTCTCTATGTCATGGCAAAAAAAAAATCAGTGTGAGGGGGGGGGGGGGGGGACACGCCCCTTGGTTACGCCGCTGTGTCCCTCTAAAGAGTCCTGACGTAAAATGATACATGACTGTTTGAAATGAGAGCGCACTACGTAGACGTGGACAGTATAGACAGAGACAAGCGCTTACTACCACCTGAATGTTTATTCGGAAAGCTGCGAAATATATACTGACACGTGAAACGATTTCGCAGGCACATACGACAAGACCTAATCCTGTGCGCGTGTATACGTAGAGCGCTCTGATTTCCAACAATCATGTGTCGCCAACTCGCCCAACCAACCGTATTGAAAAGTAAAGTAAAACGGGCACAGACACTCAATACTCAATAAAGACGAAGGAGAGGCGTAAGCAGTCGTTCGGAAGCTCTGGAGAGCTAACAGAAGATGCCCAGGCAGCCACCTTTAACAGCGTGGGGGCGCTACGTGAGAAGCTGCCATTTGAGGCAGCTAGGTGGCGAGCTTGGAACAAAAGAGGAAAGCATCGCGTGAGAGCCACCGCTGTGCAAATAGATTGGAGTGCGGAGGAGAAACAAGCCAAGTGAGGCGGCGGGGACGAGTGGTGAATGAAGAAGGGCGGGGAAGGGGGGCCACGGGACACCGCAAACATGCGCGCGCTCCGCTAGCCGGCACCCGCGAGGCTGATATGATTTGCGGATGACGCGAAAGCTCCAACACGCACCGCGCGCGGCGCTAAAGTGGTACTCACCAGAGACGTAATCAGGTAGCTGTGGCTTTCGGTGAGCATGCCAACTTGCTGCGCCTGTAGATTTTTTTCGGGGAAAGAAAAAGGAACGAATCAAAGGGGGAATAAGAAAAAAAAACATAGAGTTAAGAGTAGGACGAAAGCGAGTTAAGTAGATGTCACATTGCGTGGTACTTCAAATGAGGTACTATTATGAACAACACACAGTGAAGATGTTATCTGTTATTTCCAATTAATACTGTGCCTAACGAAAAACAAAACGATCACTTAAATTTACCCTTGTTTCGTTGATTCAAAAGCGGTAAAAGTTTAGAGAAGAATGGAAGCTTGACAAGATGAGAAATCCTTGAACACGGTATTTCGCTTATAACCAACGTTTCAACAAGTGGTCATGCGTTCTTCGATGCGTCACCTGCCCAGCCAAGAGGCGCGTATGTGTGCACTCAATACATTTTGCTGTTTGGCGTAGAGTCTACGAATCTTACACAAACGCGCGTTACGGTAAATAATTACGTGATGCTTTGAGGAAGACACCGCCAATTGAAATAAGGAAAGTCGCAAAATCTCGCACGATCGGGATGCAATGGCATGGTAGAAGGAAGGAAGGAAGGAAGGAAGAAAGGAAGAAGGGAAGGGAAGGAAGGAAGGAAGGAAGGAAGGAAGGAAGGAAGGAAGGAAGGAATGCAAAACGAAGACGCCTCGTGCTTCTTCTGGCGTTCCGTTGTGCGTACAGATAAAGAAAGCCAATGAGCAGACTGGCAGGGAAAAAAAAACGGTGGGGGGAGGGGGGGGGGGCGTGCGCACTGAGCAGTTATGAGTTCCGCAATCAGCCGTGAGAAGGCGCCTCGGGGATGTTTGACACGCGCTCCCGTGGTCCGCAAAATTTTGACCGCCACTGTACATCCAGCAAGTAGCCCGTATGATCGTCAAACCGTACTTGGATTTGTAGTCAGTGGAAAGAGCTATCATTGATCCGCACTAAAACGACTAATACTTCGGGTTGCTTCTTCCTGCTTATCACATTTGATGGCCGGAAACAGCCACAACGACCCGTCGATAATGATTAAGTATGTGACGTTAGCTAAACCGTAGTAACCGGGAAAAAAAACGCAGCATTCGCATTGCGACCGTAGTCACAGTGACATTAGCAGCCATTTGCTGTAAGAAGTGATGGTGAATGCGTAGGTCACAAATTCATATAGCTCTTGAAAGGAATATTATTCTTATCCGAACCATTTCGCCCTATCAATTGCAAGCGTATGTTGTTTACTACCAAGAAAATAGCTTGTCCGTCCCGATCAATAAGGCATCATGTTGCAAAATATAGTGCTGCTTAAAAAAACAAGCATTTAGTCTTTTGTGGGTACCACTGTGTGTATTTATAACATTTACCTGCAACACTGTTTCTGCTGCTCACTTTGCGTACTACAACACATACAATACTCAGTGACCTAGAGGCCTTTACAAAAGCAAACGAATGTGGCTTAAAATATAGGTGGCTATGTCACTCGCTCACGTGTTTCAGGGCAGTGAAAAGGTTTTCCCTCTTGACGTCCAGCACAACCCGTGTTTCCTTTGTCTTCTTGATCTTCCAGAAAAGGTCCCGGTACGGCTGACCAGTGTGGAACTGGTACATCTGAATGTGCCAATCATTGCCCCGGGCCTCTTTCAGAAAATCCTGAAGCCTTATGATACCTGCGGTAAGGAAAAGGCAAAATGTTTGGCATTATTCGACCATTCCTGCCACTATAGGCGGCGCAGTGAAGGTCGAAATGGCGGACGAGACAATGATGTCACGAGTGCTTACGTCAGCGTCGTAGAGCGTGAAGACGCGTTCATTGGTTTATGACTACTTAGAGACTGAAGTGCGTCGCTGTTTTATCACCGTGCGACAGCTTCGGAGCACGGCTACGTGGCACCGCCTGCGTCGCTGGAATAACCGAATAGCGGCAACGAGGGAATGGGCACGGCATACTTGCTGAGCACAAGAAGAGTAAAAGCACTCGGCGTTTGACACGCGATATACTTGGAGCGCGTGGCTGCCGTTGCTGAGGGCGAGGGCGCATGGCACGCAGGGTGACTGCATCTGGTAACCAACTGCTCAGTTTGTGGTTCGCGGTGGCACCGGTGGAGCACTGCGATACTTCGTGACGCGCAGCCGCAGCCGCTTCGCACGGCGTGGCAGGTGAGTGAGTGAGTGAGTGAGTGAGTGAGTGAGTGAGTGAAAAAAACATTCTGAATCCAGCAAATGCGGTTGAATCCCCACCTGGCTTATCCCTCTACGGGGCAGAGAGGTCCCATCCAGAGAGGTCCTGCAGGCCCCATCGCGAGCACGCTGGAGGGCCAGAACTTGTGTTCATACATGAGACTTCACAAAAGTGCGTCCAACTCATCTTTGGTTAACTTTGGGAACTGCCCGCAATTCCTGAACATATCCCAGAGTAGTAGCCTCGCCTGAGGTTCGCCCCGCCGCGTAGGTCTAGTGGCTAAGGTACTCGGCTGCTGACCCGCAGGCCGCGGCATCGAATCCCGGCTGCGGCGGCCGCATTTTCGGTGGAAGCGAAAATGCTCTAGGCCCGTGTGCTTCTATTTGGGTGCACGTTAAAGAACCCCAGGTGGTCAAAATTTCCAGAGTCCTCCAATGCGGCGTCTCTCATAATCATATAGTGGTTCTGGCATGTTAAACCTCACACATCATCGTCATCGCCTCGGACTGTGCGAGAGCTATTAGGGTATATGTCCGGATATATGCTATCGAGAGGCAGCCCTATATACGCCGGCACCACCGCGAACCAGAAGCTTAGTGAATGGTTGCCAGATGCATGCAGTCAAGAACGCTGTCGCCCTTACCGTCGATTTCAACAGCAGCAAACACATCGCGCTTTACTCTTGGACCGCTGTACAGGCGCTCACAGTATAATTTGGGACGCCGGACAGGTGGTCGTTCACCAGCGGAGCACACGCGCGTGAATATACAGCCATGGTGCGCACGTGCGCGGTTTTCTTGGCAAGCATTTCTCACACCCTAGTGTGCCTATAACGGCGTTATCTTGCACCAAAAGTCAAGTGTTAGGTGGCTGTATAACAGCAGTGTCACAGTTACGCAGCATAACTGTGCCGATAAATTAGAAAAGTGCTATCTAAAAGATTTATCACGCGTCACGTAAGCAACTATTGGGGACGTCCAGGCACACGAATGCGCAAACACAAGCACGAATAGTAACACGCACGCACTCTCACAGCGCGCTGCAAAATGAGACTAGAGCCTTTTCGCCTCCATCGAAAAGGCAGTCGCCGCAGCCGGGATTCGATCCCGCCACCTGCGGGTCAGCAGCCGAGTACCTTAGCCACTATAGAGCACCGCGGCAGGGCTGAACAGCATTTCCAACAGCTACAAGTGAATCAGTTGTGCAGTCACACATCAAACAGTGAACGAACTTCACTACATGTAACTATATGCACACAATTTCAGGAGCAACGAGGTTTATCGAGTGACTGCGCTATGGTCAAGCCAAATAAGAAGATATAATAATAATTGCTGGGATCTTACGTCTCAAAAAGAAGATATTATGAGAGACGCCGTAACGGAGAGCTCCGGAAATTTCGATCGCCTGAGGTTTTTCAACGTGCACCTAAATCAAGGTGCACGGGAATCAATAACTTTCGGCTCCACCAAAAATGCGGGTCGCTGCGGCACATATTCGATTGCGTCACCTTCGGATAAGTAACCAATCACAGTAATCACTAAACCACCGTGGATGGCAACTATACACGGAAATTTAACCTGAACTTTGTAGACTAGTGAACGGGTCAAGGTTGACATCCAGGGTACGCAGAAAAAAAAGCGCTATCATGCAACGCTCTTGAGTTGTAAGCTGCAGTATATCCATAAGCGAAATTTATGCTTGACAGTGTCGATAGTTCTAACGTAAGTGCACGTGCTGAACATTCAGATGGAGCTGATTGGTAGAATAGGTGCTTTTGTTACTTATGTTCGCAAAAACGATATCGTGAAAAGGCTACATAGTGTCATTTTGTTTTTAGATTGCAATAAATGAAGAAGGTCCTGATCAACGAACGATTGCATCAGCAATAGACACCGCCATCCTCTTGCGATATGTGTGCGTAATATGTCTCGCTTAAAAGTGTATGATTGCACGGAATGTGGTCTCCTAACATCCCACGTATTTCTTATGATCGGTGTAAAAAAAAGAGACGAAGACAGCGGAGCACAATGTCACAGCCCGTCGGTCTTGCACCCTATAGGAAGTATGCACTGAAGGCAATGTGGCCGCCATATTGTAGTACAGAAAGCATAGATAAAGGTGCTCTTTCTGATTTTAATCTGCTTATCTCCAGAAAAGCCGGAAGCTGCCAATCACACATCAAAATTGCTCGTGATGTCGTCACGTGAACAACCCCGATACGATAACACTGTCAAACTCCCCGATCCTTTTCCACGGTTTGGGGCAGCGCACCGGTTAATCTAAGCGAGTTGACATCTCTGCCTGTCCTAGTTTTTCGTTCCCCATTAACAGTGAAACTCATTATCGAATCCAAACAGACACGCATAATTTTTTTATTGAGCTAACTCGCATAATTGATGCCTGCGCAAAAAAACAGGAAGTACCGTCATGCATTAAAGCTTTACGTCATTAGCATTTCAACTCTTGTGCGTGCGCAAGCAGCTACGAACTGGTTATTCGGAAAGCGGCGGCCGTTGATTCTAGCAGCATTCGTTGTCGATCGCGTTTCTTCAAAGCTTTAGCTCTTCATCTTTGAGATGACGTCTCTCTTCCGTTTTCACGGATACCATTAGACATCTGCTAACTGGCGTGCCTGGAATGCCTTCGTTCGGCACTGTTAGCAGATATAAATAGAAAAAGACAACCCATATCTGCCTTGTAAAAAAAAAAAAAGGTCGCTTTACAGCGTTAAGAAAATATAATAATAACAAAATACGAGATGGTTCGTATCTGTCAGCATATGTAATGTACTAGACCATATCGAACCGAAAACGCTCGAACTGCTTAAAATACAGCGCTGGAAATAATGAGGCAGGACGGACAAGCAAAGGACGGACATTGAGTTAACCTCGCACGTCTTCTTCAAAAAATTGTGTACTCTGAAAGGCCCTCACTGATACGCCGCACTTTGTACGACGATACGGACACATCTTAATGCCATGATGGCGAAAACTTTAGCCGAACTTATTTGGAGAGAAAGAAAAAGAAACTAGCCACGTGAAAAGGCTAATGGCGGCAGCCCGAGTTGATAGTACAGGGTATACGAATTCGGCACCATCCTTGTAATGCCGCCCCACCGAAAAGAATGCGCATTAGCGGACGCCCTTTCAGCACTTTTATCATCGCTGCTCGCGCTCTTTTTCGCGCCGCTTCTCTGAAAAGCGAAAGCTTCTGCCTCCCTCCGAATAGATTTTTGAAAAGAAAGGAACTGTCAGTCGTGTCAGTCTGCCGTTCCACCCCACATTGACTTGCGGCTGTTTGATAGCGAAAAATCTAGAAAAATAAATAAATAAAAAACGCACTTCGACGCTATAGGAAGCGGAGTGAAGACGAGAAAAAAAGGAGCAACTGGTCGGAAAAAAGAAAAATGGCGTTCCTTTTCCTTAAAAAGAGGGAAGCATTCGCTTCGGTCTCTAAAAGAAGCTTTGAAGCGACAACCATCACACTTTATCGAGGCCAAAGCACAGACGATGAAATAAGTTATAAAGGGAGCGAACGACCGGAAGAACGAAGGAGAAGGGAACGAAATTCCCTATGTCCAGAAGATTTATTCTAACTGGTTTTTGCTTTATTCTGCACTCGTTTCGGCAACATTTCCCTCCCGTCTGTCGATTACGGTATGGCCGACTCGACCGATCGGCGCCCGACACTCTTGCCAGTTCAGCTCCGTCCTCTTCCAGATAGAGCGAAGCGCTTCTCTTTCGGACAGTCGGAGTGAAACGCTTATTCTGGTCGAAAGTGGAAACGTAAGCTTCTTCGAAAGACAAGTCGGGCATGGGCTTCACGAAACGGACGGTTCCCGCGCACCATCCCTCGCCGACAGTGTATCCGGAAGGCCAGAGCCGAGTGCCTCGTGGTGAGTGTTGGGAGGCCGACAAAATAAAGATCGTCAAGCACAGACGAAAGCCGAATACGCGCTTTTGAAGACGACAGTAGACGAAGTAGTTGGAAAGAAAAGAGTGTGAGTAGGAAAGAAAGAGAGAGGGAATCGCGTAGTTTGCGGTCCTTCGGAATGCGCCACCCTCGGTTATTATTAGGTCGGTACTTCTAGCTACGACTCTTTTCTTTCTTTTTGCTTCATTCGTGCCCAAAACTTCACACTTCTCAGGTTCGTGTCATCGGTCGTGAACAGATATTTTCAAATGGCATGTGTTTATTTCTTTATTGTTTGTTTTTGACCGTGGAAGCAACTCGTACACTTTCATGTGGGATTATTTACGTTTCCCAGATCAAACGTAATGTTAGAGAGGAGAAAAAGCAAATATGGTGTGATCGTTTCTTTCCTTGTTTATTTTCTTTTTTTTGTTTCTCTGTGAGTGTGCCTTACGGTAATGAGTTTCCGAAGTAGCGTGCTGAACCGTGGTATATGACTTCTACATCGCAAGATTACGAATCAGTTCATGACAGCGTTTTATCTTGAGAGGGGTGCAGAATAGCGCCATAGTGATGATAAACTTGTCCAAACCTGTGTTTGGAAATAGAGGCTAACGATTTAGAGAACTAGTTGCTTTACTATGGGAGAGCACAGAGCCATCCCGTGGGGCTAACACTAGTTTTCGTGACGTGAACACCCTTGTACAAATAGACGCACCGTAAAAAGAGCCTAATGTACTTAGAAAATAGGGTTAACGATTTAGAGTACTAGGTTCTCTACATTGGTGAGCATAGAGCCGTTCCGTGGGCCTCACACTAGATGAGTGTGAAACGGCACTCCACACTAGATGTTGCCGGCGAAAAATAAATGGTGTTTAGATAGACATTCTTAACGTTTCAGAGTACTATAGGTACTCTACTATGAAAGAGCATAGAGCCGTCCCGGGGGCCTCACACTTGATCAGGCCCTGTGTGTTTAGAAAAAGTGTTTAACGATTTTGAGTACTTGCTACTCTACTATGGGAGAGGCCCCGGAAACAAGATATTGGTGACAGTTTTGTCGTACAATTAAACCACGGTGCTTAATGCGTATATATACAGAAACGCGGCCTTCAGAGGTGCACTAGTCACACGGGTATTCGGATGCACCGTTTTCCATCAACAGATGCTCTCTCAACTGTGGGCCTCTTGGTGATCAGCCGTTTCGAATATTACAATTTGATCTTTTATGGAGGTGATTTGTCGTTTCGCGTTGCGAAATTTTGCTATTCGCGGGATATGTACGAATGAACTCGCGTTCTAACGCCGGCACCGGCACATGAACATATAGGCATGATGCCTACTTCGTAGGCGTGCCCTGCCACCACGCCCTCAATCAATCAGGGTCGTTTCGCTTGCACCAAAGAAAGACCGAATAAAAACAAACAACGAAAGAAAGGTAGCACATCAAGCACGCGCAAGATGGCCGTCGCATGTACCCGGTAGGGAAACCGCGTTTTATTTTTTGAAGAATTTTGATGCCTTTTAGGGGCAAAGCTCCTTAGAGCGGCACCCGTTCGTCCCCCGTAGTTTGTAACAAGTATAACATTTTGACCTCCAGGGTGGTGCAGGTGAGAGACTTCTTCTGTGCGTTGTTGAACAAGAAAAAAAATAGTGCTCAATGTACATGTCAATGGCTGCTAATGGGGAATGAGAAACAGGAGCATTCGGCTTTTAGTTATCGCGCAGGCTGCGATCCCCATTAGCAGCCATCGGCATGTACATTGAGCACTATCGGACAAGAAAGGGTTGCTACGTTATACTCGCTGGGTGTAACCTCCTTAGCTTTAGAAAGGTTCAGCGAGCGTTGAGCCGCAGTGCCATGAATACAATGAACTTGTATATACCAAGAAGGAACTCGAGGTGGTTAAAAATGGGAAGTAGATACGAAGCGTAAGCCGTAAGAAAGTAAAAGCCGAATTCTCCGCCTCTCATTACCATTTGCAGCCGTTGGCATGTACATTGAGCACTATCTGACTGAAAAAGTTTGCTACGTCATACTCGCTGGGCGTAACCTCCTTGGTTTTCGAAAGGTTTAGCGAGCGTTCGGCCGCAGTGCCATGAATACAGTGAACTAGTATATACCATGAACTCGAGGTGGTTAAAGGTGGGAAGTGGACCCGAAGCGCAAGCCGTAAGAAAGTGTGCGTGTGCCACTTCTCGTTTAGTCCTTGGAATGACTGCTGGATGGCGGTGCTTCTACATGGGGAATATATGATGAAAAGATGCGAGATGTGGTACTTGGATTGATTGATATGTGGGGTTTAACGTCCCAAAACCACTATATGATTATGAGAGACGCCGTAGTGGAGGGCTCCGGAAATTTTTGGAGTGTTGAATAGATGGACGAACGGACACACAGACAAATTCATGGATGGACGCATGAACAGACGCAGGGGCGGCTGCATGGACGAACGCAGGGACGGACGCACGAACAGACGCATGCAAGGATGGGCTGATGGACGCATGGACGGTCACACTGACGGACGCATGGACAGACGGAATCAAGAACGAGTAGACGGACGAATTCTTCGCCCGACTCTCCATCATTCACTCCGTGGATATGCTGCCATTTTTTTTGTCATTACATTTTCGACATCACTCTTTAGGCAAACCAGTGCGCTTTTTAATTATGAATAACTACCTCGACAGGAAACATTAGTTACGCAAGCCTTCTTTTTTCGAAAACAGCTAAAATTTTCAACCATGTGACAGGATGAATTACACGATCAGTCTATTACGTGTGCTTTCGACCTCCCTAATACACCAAAGCTTTGTTCCACTAAAAGCAACTAACGAAGCTTCCCTTTCGTGAAAAAACGTTGTTCCACCTGCCTTCGTCTTATTTACAGCTTGTATTCTAATATCTTCCTGTACTCACAATACTTTCATCTCTTGCTTTCTCTTTCTCTTTGCTTCTTGTATGTCTTTTCTGTATCTGTTTCTATTTCTTTCTTTTCGTCCATCTTTTTCTCGTTCTTTTGAACTTTTTTCTCGCTTTCTTTCTTTTTTTTCTCTTTTTTTTCTCATTTTATCGCTTCTCCTTTCTTTTGCATTTTTTCTCCCTTTTCCTATCTTTTTTTTCTCTCTCTACGTTCTTTTTCTATCTCTCTTGCTCGTCATGGATGTGCTCCACTTCACCGAGCAGAGATTTCGTTTAACGCTCGCAGTAGTCGCACTAAGTAGCGGTGCTCGACCAATTCCTGTGGCCCGTATACCCACCTGAGGTGCTCTGCACGACGGAGCACATATATCACTACCTTAACCCTTTTAGCACTGGATTTTATTTTGTGTTTGTTTTGTTTTGTACTGGTGATTTTTCCACGTGCTTTTTTTCTTATCTTTAGGACCTCAGAAGAAAACAAACGAAGAATTGTGCCAGTGCTGCGAGTATTTCTAAAATAATGAACATCACGTGAAATTATGTTATCAGGCCACAGTGTTTGTAAAATGAGAGAAGTGGCTTCTTTAATTCTGCTACTCACTAGACTATGCAAAATGTGAAGCAACGTCTGATTTATGAGTGTGATGGTCAATAAAATAGCTTCGATACGTTGCCCTGGAAATCACACTTATCCACCTCAGCAGACGCGCCTCAGCTTCACCCAAGGCTTTGGTCATTCTTCTTCTTCTTTGTGGCCTCTTGTCCCGCAAACGTGCCCCAATTTTGGTGTAAATGACAGTGAGAATCATCGAAGGAGCATTTCCTCAAGAATGAGCAGTATTGGTTTCGTTTTCGAGATGCTAAAGCAAGTCATGTGTGGTGGCGCCAACTGACACCGCCAGGGTTGAAAGGGCAGTTTCGCAGTTAAAAATCAGAACCCTTCCCCAGTCGAAAAAAAATGGAGACAAGAGAAGCTTAATGTTTACTACCTGACCTAGCACTTTTCTTTCTTTCTTTCTCCCTTTCTTTCTTTTTCTCTTTCTTTCTCTTTTTCTTTCTTCCTTCCTTCCATCTTCCTTTTTTTTTCTTCCGTGCTTTCTTTCTCTCCTTCGTTCTTGCTTTCTCATTCAGCTGTGCTCCATACCATACCATTTTCCTTCCTCCACGCCAGATATTGAATAGCACGGACGCTAATGAAGAGTCCCGACAGTTCGTTCAAGCCCTTCTCAATTTAATGAACTAGTGGTCAGTAGTGGCATTTGCCCTCCTGCTGTGACGCACACCCACCGACGTTTCCGCGTACGACAGCAGCCACACCGACGGCGACAAACGCAATTCAATCTACGCATGAAGAGAACCTTGCGCTATTAATACAAAAAAAAAAAAACTGCCTGACATACATACCTTCGTGGTCCTCGTAGACGAGGGCGAACCTGTTCCAGCCCCATGTCTTGATGAGGTCAACGTACGCCTTGGCTAGCACCGCGGGCTTTGGGAAGAGGTTGATGGAGAGATCGTCCCGCTGCAGCTGGAAGTCCCAGCGCATCTCGATGTGCGGCACGTCCAGCGCGTCGCAGATGGACTGCACGTGCATGCTGGTCACGTCCGACGACGGCCCGAAGATGCCCGCGATGCCAGTGTTCAGCAAGCTGCACACTGCGAGGAGGAGAGGATTATTGTCCCATACTTCTCATACGACGGCCGCCCGTCGTTAGTCATTAGGCGCATCCGATCAACTCGCCCTATCAGGCAGGGCTGTGGAAAGAGACGTTGGCTATACACCGAACGCACTAAGTCAAGTAGAACCACTTGCTCTTTCATCTCGTGATTGACACTGCGGACATGACAGGCGCCAGGGTAAGAAACACCGAGAGGCCAATCAGCCGAATGTTTGGTGTGCCAACACGGCGGTCAAATAACAGGGGTATAGAAAGTTATTGAGAAACGGGGGAGCCTGTTTTCATAAAGCATAGGCTAAGCAGACTCCATTACTTTCGAAAAAAAAATTATTTCTTTCAGTTAGATTTTCACAAGACCTCTTCTATATTTTGTTGAGACAAAACCAAAACTAACTAACTAACTAACTAACTATCTAACTAACTAACTAATTATTACTTAACTAACTAACTAATTTACATAATAAATAAATAATTAATTATCTGACTTACCTACTTACCAACTAACTAACTAACTAGGACAGTCATATTGTACTCCATTGCATGGTTAGCAAGCAATGTAGAAGAAGGCTAGCGCACACCAAGCGTTTTGTAGTGCGCTTGTTTATCTTTGACTCGGTACATAGTACTTCAAAAATAATCGGATTTCATTTGGTTGCGTCTAACTAAAGAACAAGCCCTTCCAATAGCCACTCTTCTTTCGTGAATGATTTAGGTAGCTAGCAATTAGTTCTCGCGTAATTGTTGCAAATAACGGTGGCACTATCCATGGGGATAATTATGATAGCCAGAATTTAACGTACCAAAACCACAATTCGATTATGAGTTGAGCGCTCCAGGAATTTTGACTCTCTAGGGTTCTTAAACGTGCGCCTAAATCTAAGCACACGTGCCTCAAGAAGTTTCACCTCCATCACTTTTTTTATGAAGGGTGCATTTCCAACAATTGCGCTTCATTTGTACGATGACTGAAGTTTAAAATGCAGGATATTGGTATTCCGAAGAGAAAATACGCTGACACGTTTAGCTTTGAATGATCTTCGACTCTATTGAAAACTAAATCACCTAATCAGGCATATATAAAAGTTGAGTAGGCGTTGGAGCCTGTGCCTTGAAATGTAAATCTCGAGAATATCCTTGACCGAAGGAATGGCGTGACCGCTCTGGCTGTCCGCCTTTCGAACGTGGTGAATAAGTGTTCACATGAAGTAAATCTACTCATACTTTTATTTTTGCACAATTGTTCGCCATGTTGCTTCAGTGTTGGTAGGTAGTATCACTTTTTGAGAATTTTGTGTTAAAAATATTTTTTAAAGAGCCGCTATAGGCCACTCCGAGTTAAAATACGAGAGGGTGATTTGCTTCTCTCCTTCAGTGTTCCTTTTACAAGCACTATATTCATCTGTCCACTTATTTTATTATAAAACACGTGGACAGTGTCAACCCTAATTGTTGAGCCCATCAAGATACCACGTTTTTCGACTACCTACGGTTTTCTTATTTGGGCAGTCGAATACGCGCAAAACGAAGTGAAATCAGTTGATCACGCACGCCAGTTTCGCGAGTCATCAAAGGCTGCACGAAAAAGTAGGGTAACAGACAATTTACAACGGATGTCCTTCGCATGTGGACCAATCGAGAGCTCATTTTATCACGACGTCACGGGGGCAGACTGATGGCGTCATGAGTTGCGTCCAAAATACGGCACAGGCCACAAGAGAACAAGACGTACAAGCTTTGCATTTTCAGCGTTTGTTTGCAATCCTGTAAGAATTTTGATGAAGGCGCCAATCGAGGAAATTGTCGTCTATGTTAAATGCTTTTCTGATTTAGGCGATTCTTGATTCCTATATTTCACTGCACCAAATTAGAATGCAATTTTCGTATAATGAGAAAGACATGTACTTCATAATGTGGTCTGTTATTACTTGTGCTGGGCGCGTGATTTTTGAGTGCTCTATACTTAACTCTAATTATGTTCACGGGTGTTCAAAATGAGGAGTTGAAGCGAAACGTCATCCATAAAGACGCACTTAATGAATGGTACCTCGTGCATTATATCTGGTCATGGCCACCTGAACAACAGTCTCTCAGTAAAGGTAAAACGAACTCCGAACCTTTCTTTTACACTCAGGCAAACAGCTTTGATAGGATGTAGGGAAAAAATATCTGTATACCACAGACAGAAATAAATTTCTCATCGATTAGGATAAAAAGCGATTCCCTTTCGAGAAATTGGCGGTACAGTTAATATTATTGTTTGAAAAGTTTTGGTTGTGAAAACACATGCTTGGGCGAGTTGGTTGTTTCTCAAGAAGAAAGATTGAACAGTGCAAAATAGACCGAAAAAAAAACATATTTGTTCATCTCTCTGCGTGTTCCGTCTCCTCCGCACTGTTTAAATCATTATTACGTATTAATCTGCCTTCTTGCTGATTCATTCAAAATAAAAAGCTATGCAGCACTGCAAGCAAATGCTGAGCCGTCGTTCAGTGTATGCTCAACAATTAGGCATCGAGCGCAGCCGATTTTATTGACCTCAAGTGAATTCGTTGCCTCTCCCTTATAATAAAAAACAAAAAAATATCAGTGCCAGGTTCCTCTTAGATGATGTCGAAAGAAAAGAAGTAAAAAAACACAAAAACACGCCGAGGTCCTGCCCTTTAAACACTAGGTACACAGACTAGGGGCGGAAGGAGGGAACGAGTGAGCAGGTTTGACGTTTTGAAGCTTAACGCAATTACAGGCAGCCGCGTGATGGTCGATGGCTTAACACGAGGGCCCCGAAAAATGGAAGAACAAGAAGGACATTCGCTCGACGTTCGGTTTTAACAGGTTCCACGCAACAGGTTTAATTAGGGTTACCGAAATCCCTCTAAGTCTTTTCTAAACGGGTGACGGTGTCATTAAGCAAAAAATAAAAAAAAGAGATGTGATGCGGGACTATATGTCAAAAAAATACGGTGAAAGTTCAAACGCGTTCTTTTACGCGGGGTCAGAGAAATGGTAATTACTGGGTGAACCCCAAACCTCTTAACCACTGTTATGAAAACTATGACAACGCCCTCAGTCACGCTCTCACAGAACGATGCTTCTTGACAGGTAAGCCTTTAGTTAAGGGCCCGTTTTCTTTTATAGACGCAATATTATTGAGAACTGACACACAATAATTCCAGGTAAGGTATAGGGAGTGTTAATAGAAGTAATTGTAATGCACATGGGAATAACGAAAAGTGGGTGAAGAGATAACTTGAGACCCGAAGGATGCAAACCTGCGACCTTTCAATAACGCGTCCGATGCTCTACCGCTGAGCTACGGGGGTGGTCATCCCCACCGTCAACTTTATACGGTACAAATGTGCCATTCAAACGTGGAAGTGTCAGTCAAAGTTTTACATGTAATAGCGCCAATGGAGGAAGACAGCAGAGAGAGAGAGCAAAGGCAGCGATGTTAACCCGTCTAGAGAAACTGGTGTGTCACCCTACACCGTTGGAAAAAATGAGGGACCTTGAAAGTTGTAATAGAAAATGTTGCAAAAGGGAGAGAGAGGAAGCGCACAGGTGTCGGAGTCCATCAGTTCTGTGCAGAATACGGCATAAGTGTAAGTATACAGTGGCTCTTGTAAGCCCGTTGACCTTGAGCATTTTAGCAATGCGTTCGTTGCCGTAATCATTGATGAGTGTTGAGGACAGTACGGCATGGTTGCTCGACATTGATATTCACAGCATGAAGATTAACTATGTTTTCAAGCAACATTACAATAGAAATAGATTTACTTTTGTATTTGAACAAAGCCATCCTCAACATCTTTTTTTGTGGGGACGAAGCTTCCTATGCGGGTCGGGCGTCCGCGATGTATGTAGTTGTAGTAGTACGTAGCCATCTCCATGGCCGGACTAGAGGAGCGGCACGCCCGCACCCTTTTCAATTGAAGAGGAAACCAGCGCATGGTAATCATGAATGAAAATATAGTTGTTTCTGATGAAATGACTTACAGAGATGATTAATCGTAACTTAATCTCCAATAAAATTTGCGTTGAATTAAATGCTTACTAAAAAAAAACTAGTATCAGAAGAACGCACTTTGAGCACTATCTGACCAGAAAGAGTTGCCACGTTAAACTTGCTGAACGTAAACTCCTTGGCTTTAGCAAAATCCGCATCAATGTAATAGGCGAGTCCAATTGTGGGTTGTAGTCGGGACGGCATTACGATCTCCCATAGTAGAGTACTATGTGCACTGAATCGTTAAACACTTTCTCTAAACACAGGTTTACCGAGGGTTGGACCCTGGTGGCATGATCATAAAAAAATAGTCATATCGCCATTATCTAGAGGCGGTGGAAGGTGGGAAGTAGACACGAAGCGCCGGCCGTAAGAAAGTGCGCGAGTGCCACCTCTCATTTAGTCCTTGGAATGTCCGCTGGATGGCAGTACTTCTATATGTTGAATAAATGATAAAAGAGGCGATATGACAGTACTTGTAATGTTAACTAGATGGACGGATGGGCAGATAGACAGATGCACGGATGGACTCACGCATGGACGGACAGATGAATGGACGCATGGACGGATGAGCGCAGGAACGGACGCATGGTTGAACGCACAGACGGATGCACGGACGGACGGGCGCACCAATGGACGCATGAATGAACGGGCGTATGGACGCATGGACAGTCACACAGACGGGTCCACGGACAGATGGAAGCAAGAACGAACAAACGGACGGACGCTTTGCCCCACTCATCATCAGGCACTCCGTGGATATGCTGTGATTTTTTTTTTAATTTCACGCCGACTTTCATATATACGCAGTAACGCTGTGAATTTAGAATTCGAAGGACAGGCGGCACGCAGATAGCAAAGGAAAAAAGCGAAAAATGTAGGTAAAGTAGAGATGTTAAATGGGGTGTATACATAGCATGTTAGCCAATTGGCTACCATGAGTTAGAGCAAAGGGCTAGAAGAAGTAGAGATGA